TTTAATTATAGTAACCCAAAGAATAAAAACTAAATCTGTGACCATCTTTAACACTTTATGGCACTAAAGCAAGTACTAAAAAGGCATAAAAGTTACTATGAAAAAAATGTTTCTTTATTATTACTTTATTCTTACATTTCAGGCCTGCAACATGATCAACTACTTACGTTTTTTAAAGTAATACTATGAAATGCATTAAAAATGTTATGAATCAAGCATAGATGATTGGTTCCAGTAAATACAAACTTTTAATTCCTGTTCTATATTAAGAAACAGAAGGATGACTTTCATCACTATCTGTCCTGATTCATTGTCAATGAATAGAAACACGGCCAGTTTTACAGCCTGACAAGGTTTACAACACCACTTTATTTATAAAGCACATAAAAGCAGCAACAAGTTCAACCAAAGTGTTGTGCAGCAAAAACAAACATGCAAAGAACAGCATAAAATACATAGATCCACAGACGTAAAGATAAGAAACTAAATGATTAAAATTATGAAATACACAAATGTTAAAATCATCTCATAGAGAGTGGAAAGCCAGGAAATAAAAGTGAGTTTTTAAACGAGACTTAAAAACAGTGAGAGAAGGAGCCTGCCTGACATGTGGTGGTAACTCATTCCACAGTCTTGGACCTGCAACAGAGAACGTCCTGTCACCTCTGAGCTTAAAACGAGTGCCTGGAACCAATAAAAACATCTGTGGATCTCAAAGAGCACTGTGGGACATATGGCTGCAGCAGATCAGTGAGATAAGAGGGAGCAGAACTGTTCAGAGATTTAAAACCACACAGAAGGATTTTAAAATGAATAGAAATTTGAACCAGGAGCCAGTGCAGGGAGGCCAGAACTGGTATAATGTGCTCTCTTTCGCCTGTACCAGTTGACTGGGCTGCAGCACACTGGACCAGTTGTAATCGTGCACTGGAGGTCTGACTCCAAAAAGAAGCACATTGCAGTATTCAAGCCTGGATGTTATGAAAGCATGTATTACTAAGTCAAGTTTGGCTTCTTTAAACTAAAGTGTTGAGTTTGTAACCCTGAATATGAACAAATCCTTTAATATTAGAATCAGAATTTATTGCCATTGAAATCATACATATCCATAACATGTCATTATTATTGGGTTATTACCTAAATCTGTCACCATATTGCACTGAAATGACCATTAAGAAGTTGAAATACAACAAATTACCTTATAAATATTTACTGCCAAGTAATTAAGTCACTGTATATTTTGCTATTACTCCCTGTTGTTCTGTGGCTGAGCTGTAATATAGAGAGTTGCTATAAAATTGTGTTTCTTCAGCCTGAATCGATCATTCGAGAACTTCAGCCATTGTTCGTCAGAAGTTACACTCATGTCTGCTTTAGACAAGAATGCAGTCTGAGGCGTGATCGTTAAAAAAATCTGAAATGATACAAGGATAACGAGCAGTGCTTTACTTTAAATTGTTCTTTTAGGAGGGTGCAGTGCTGTTTCTGAATAAATCGTATGTAGCATAAATGGCTGATCTGTTGTAGCTGAATCTACGTTGCATTGAACAGCCGGTCTTCTTCGAAAGCATCTTAAAAGTGTTTGCTGTAAATTAAAGGAACACAGAAACCATGAGCTGATGTGTGTGTTTCCACTCATTTCACTGCAAACATACTTCACATAATAAATTCATTTTATAGTTTGGATCATTAATGACTTCACTCGTTTACCAGGCAGCCTTTCTGCTCACACATTTATTTTTATATGTAGGAAAAAGAATCTGTTACTCGGGGTAAATAGATATACTGTACCTCTATTATTCAAAAAACTTGCTTTTCATAAAAGAATAAAGAAGTGGGGAAGGGGAGGGAGGTATTTTAGCCATCTTGATTTTGGGAGTCAGTCCATGTATTTTCAAATTGAAAATTTGCTTTAAAAAATGTTAAAAGTTTAAATTTTAGTTCAAGAAATTTAAACATACCTTCATCATCAGCATATATGAGTTTATGTGTGTTATTTTTTTTTAGAAAAGGGGCAGACATAAGATGTTTTTCTTTTTTCTGCTGCCTTTCATTTTATTATGATTATATTCCTTATTATTTTGTTTTATTTTCATTAAATGAATTTACTAATGAATAAAAATATATAAATATATCATGGAGGCCTGATGCTGGGTGAAAATGGTGGAGTAAAATCAGGGATTTAATTGTGTTTACATCAAGACAGTGGTCCCAGTAACAGTAAACACCTAGTTGGTGTAAAGGATATGCATTTTTTATCTTTTAAGCTCATCAAGGTTATGTATTTACTATTTGGCTTTTAAAAACAAACCATGGGCAAATGCTATGATTTACTTTAAAATGAGACTTTCAGTTTTATAAAACTTTTACATTTAGGTCATATTTAGTTGAATTGTTTCCTAGACCTTTATTGAAAAAATAGAAAAAAAATTCACCAACAAACTGCTTGGTGTTAATAAGATCGGCCTAAAATGATTTAATTCAATTTTATAATTTTTCTACTCTATTTTGTTTGATTAGTGAAGAAGGACCCCTTTTAAGCTTAAAAAATATCCCCCATTAAACGCAACTGCCGAAGGCAGTGACTTGGGGGTTGGGGATAGATTATAATATATAAACAGTATATATATATATGTATATATATATATATATATATGTATA